AAGTTTTCATGCATTGATTTGATGCAAGAACTGTAACATAATAGACCCTAGATTGTGATTATTTCTGACCATGAATTTCGATAATCATTTTTCAAAGTAAAATTTTCACAAGAAAATCAGACAGTCGTTTAAAAACGTAAACATTAGTAATACTTTTACTAATTCTAAGATCAGGTTTCGTAAATCTATTCACGAAACTATATTGAAATCGCGGCAATAATGATGCAAACCAACAGATAACAATTTCAAAGTGTCAAATCTATTCGACTCGAGCTCGATCAGCTCAGCTGAACTCATACACACACACACAGTGTAACTCCAGAAAGCTCGAACACCGGCGCCGCAGGCCTCGGACGCCTGCGGTGCGCGGAGCCGGTGTTGGAGCTTGCTGGAGTTAAATTGCAGCTCACACACACTGCACAGCAGCACTGCACTGACTGAAGGCAGCTTGCGACTGAATTGTCAGTCCAATGGTTTTCTTGTGAAAACTTTCCTTTAGAAAATGATAATCAAAATTTAGTAGCATGGCCGTAATAATCACAAAATAAGCTTTCATTTCATACCTCCATTCACGACACCTATATAAAAATCGCGGCAATAATGATGGAAATAGGTCCCTAAGTTTGGACGTGGACGGGAAGCTTCGTGTGTATCTCTGTGGCTCGTGCAGCTACTATACAATGGATATCCTATAGAAAGATGCTTTACTCGGGTAAGCCCGACCCTGTGCGTCGTGCATTTAATACGCAACTTAATGTGAGTGGACAGTCATCGGTCGTGTGTCTACGGATGTCATGTTGAATATCCATGAGGTATCTCTGTCGTCACGCATATCCTGCATTATGCATATCGCGTCTGTTTTCGCCCTGGACGTCGACACGGAGGAGGACCTCGGGCGGAGTATAGCCAATTCCACAGAGTAGACTCTCCCGCGGACGATGGCACAGGGCACGGGTACCCCGAGGGGAGGGTTCAGGAGGAGATAGCCGCACCAACTTCGGTCGGCGATCTCATTAAAAAACAATAGAATACAAAGGCTCGCCGAGACGTCGCGCCCCCCGCGGAGCCTTAGCGTATTATTATTATAGATATTTAGTTTAACCGTACTTTTCATTTCACTAGTTTTATAAAGCGCTTAGAAACTGTACTTGTATACCAGCGCTATATAAATCTTAAATATTATTATTGTTAATAAATGCGATGTACATAATGAATGAATAGAGCTTACGACATATATGAAATGACGTCGAAAGTCCAATGAAGATGAAGAGAGATGAAAACGAAGGAAGGGGCTCACGTGATGTGGTGCGGGGGCTTAAAGGCGGAGATGTAGCTTCATTGTACGTGGCTGAAGAGCCGTGAAGAAATCTCGACGCTGACGCTCGTGATGAAAATGAAGATAGCTCTCAGGCGAGAAGAGAAGAGAAGAGATGTGGTGCTCGATGACGGAACAGTGGGTCGTTCGATGTCGGAGGCGAAGAGTAGAAATGTAGACATCAAGCCGGTGGTGAATTAAGACGGAGCAGTGAGTCGCTCGATGAATGATCCGGACTTTGATGAAGTAATGTTTAGATGAGCTGCGGTAAATTGTCTGAGCTCGAGAGTGGAAAGAGCTACCGAAACGAAGAAACTGGCAGCTTCCAGCGGAGAGTCAGGCGCCATGTCAGTGCTCACTATAACGTTCCACTGGGAGACTGCAGCCCGATGAACACGGCAGAGAAATGTAGATATGCCGTAGAAGCGACGAAAAGCACAGAAGAATAAAACCAGGAGAGGAAATCATGGAGACGTCTTGACTCGACCAAGTTGGAAGCGAGAGTGAAGAAAAACCTCGTGGCGTTGAAAATACGCGGGTGAACGGGTGCGCGGAACCACGGTGCTCGATTGGAAGGATAAACACACGTGGTCCGAATAATGCATATAAATAAGTAACGTGATGGAAAAATACTGGAGACATGAATGTACGGTAAAAGTAGGGCGAATGTAAGAGCCGCTACAATTGTAAGTACAAAACAAAGATACACTATATACCCTTGAAACATGAATACATTCGAGTCAATGGAAAGACAATCAAACAAATACACAATACACAATACATTTAGTGGAGCTGTGTCTTTCTAAATGTTGAAAAGAGAAAAATAAAAATGTGTGATTACATCAAGATTCCTGGATGGCATTTTCATAAAAGATGCCAATGTTAATGAGGTTTTCTTATCAATACAGAATATGCACAAATACAATCTGACTTCTGTAATACATTATATAAAATACTAAATTGATAATTGTGTTGATTGCTGTACTCGAAGATCAACATTGAAAAAAGGATAGTACTTTTTGCGGTCGATACACAAAATATAATTTGTTCACTTTTATAAGGTTTTATTTTTATTTTTATTTTTCTTCCCTTCTCCTTTTCTCCTTTCCTCCTTTTTTCCTTTTTAAACCCTTTCTTCTTCCCTTTTCTTTATTTTTACGTGCGATAAAAACCTGAATATTCATGTTGGAAAGAATATTACGTCATCCAAGCTAAACATGTAGAGCGAGTACATTATGGGCTAGTGAGTAGTAAAGTCCTCTTTCATTACGTGGATAAATCCAGGTGCATGTAAGGCTGGAATAGTTGACAATAGACTAAAGCACGCCTACAATGCACGAATGTCTAACCGTATATTAAACGGGATGAACCTCGTACTAGCTTTAACGTGTAAATAAAAGAATCAATTTTTTGAACTTTTATACTTGTAAAACAGGCTCAACTATTACGACATTACGTGGATTATGTTATACATTACTTGAATCATATACCATAAGTATGAATACAGGGGCTGCGATCCCGGGGACGGGGGACATATGTCCTCCTTAATTTGTTGACGGGGGATCGTCCCCTCGGAAAATTTGAAAATTGCAAAACAAAATGTATATAGCAAATACTGACTAAAGACTGGACACTTTTAGGCTCTGGAGGCCTAAGAGGGAAGCGTTTAGACTTATAAAAACGCAGAAATCTTCTACGCTCCCTCGCATAATATCCTTCAAAATGTACAAGTAAATATTTTTCCTAAAAAAGGTGAATCACTTTCCACTCCTCTGCATTAAAGAGAGTAAAGTCCCTACTGTAAGTCAACTTCTGAAGAAATTGGCTCGCTGCAATTTGGATCAGCTCAGCAATGCTTCGGATAACATCACAAAGCGAATGATATTGTTTTTCTTGACCAGGTGTTCCAATGTCTTGACCCTTGACCGAAGGGTTTCAAGCTCTTCGTCTTTGCGCTGGAGCTCAGCTTGTAGGTGATGCATCTCGCCTATAAGGAAATAGGATACGGAGAATAGAGAAATACATCATTAAATCAAAATATATAAATATGTATCTCTTTTATTAAAGGTACTATGTCCCATTTGCAGGCCCAAAAAATGAAAAGGTTAAATTCCAACGGCATTTGTAAGATAATACTAATTTAGAACTTCTCTTAATAAAAGGGGGCTTGAAAATGGCTTTAAGTGGGAAAATAACGACTATTAATTGTGATACCAATACAGTAAGTAATGGTCTGGTTTTCAGACCATTGTACCGAATGATAATACGTTTTGTGCTGCGCAAAGATTCAATCAGTTTAATTTTGGCCATTACAAGAAGTGGGTCACTGATGTAGACAAATGCTCATGTACCCTTTACAGCTCATTTTATGTATGTTATTAACATAGAAGAAGAAAAAGGCTGGCAGTGACTCAATGGTGTCTGACAGTGAAGTCTAGCAAATAAACGGGTTTCTTTGCATAATTTGAATATTAGGACACTGCTAACGTTTAAATTTCACAGATAAGACATACATGACATATTCCTAATTCCTGCAAAGTTCTACATAATTTGATGTTGGCTGCAAAAGGGACACAGTATCTTTAACAGTAAAAAATTCAGTCCCTCGATTCCTTGTCTATTCTAATTTTATTTGAACGCCATTTTATTACAATTAGAATATACCATTCTAAGTATAATTTTTCCTCCACTTTTCTTAATTTTCAAAGCAGTATCACAATTATAACTACAGTAGAACAAGTTTAGAAAAATAACATATCTACACTATCAAATACCCAAGATGAAATCGAAGATTTGTCACATAAATATCATCAATATAATACAGCCTAATATAACCGACATGACGGATTTTTGCTTTTTAGCCTTCAGCACTGAGAACGATGGTAATGCAATCCGATTCATTAATATAACACATAAACTTCAGGAGACCGATTTGGGTAATGATTTCTGATCATAGCCCTCGTCATCGTTCTACTTTACAACAAGAGTATAAATATCGAATAATACCCTTATCTGTGGCATTGTGTTTTTATTCTGTGCTCTTTCTTTTCTTAAATCATTGGATTCCTTACCTGAAGATTTCTGCTGACTTCCTGAACCCGTTACCTACTTCTTCGAGGACTTTCTTGACCTCTTTTTCTTTGAACCTGGTTTAGCAGTGCTTTTCTGCAAGGGAGAAGACACGGAGTTGACCTCAGTTTCGCCCTCTATATAAAAACAGTGCCTAATCGGTGACCATTGGTCCCCCATGATCCTCTTTTTCTTATGTTAACTGAGAGCTGAGTTGATGAGATAACCACCTGTCCAGTGACTTTGCAGGGCGGTCTAATCCCTCCTGTAAACTACGGCAGATAAGCTTTAAATACCAGTAAACATTACCACAAAATTGTAATTTCGGTACAGCCTTGTTAAAATGTTTTTATTATGAAAGTTTTCGGAGATGCTGATTTGATTTTACTAAATGAATACCAAAAGTAACTTTGAGCTGAAATTTGGAAAAGTGTAGGGACTATTTAGCCTACTGGAAGTGCACTCTTAACATGACGTCACAATATTCAATGATGCAATCTTCTAAACCGTCTTTTATGGTGGATAAATGAATGCAATAATCAACAGCGATTTTAATCTTCAACCATTATCTAATTTGTCTTAAATAGTTATTTGAGTTTGGGTTATAATCAAATTGTTACCCTCTCTGACGTTGAATTTCTAGTAGAGGTTTTAGTACTGGATCTCGTCTCTGCTGAAACATAGTCTTTATTGTCACACCTTCACAGTCGTATGCATTCAGGTCACCACCGTGAGAGACCAGGAAGGCAAGGAGAGCATCTGAGTTCGTCTTGATCCCAATGCGTCTCCATTTCCTCTTCATCTGTAAACGAAAAGGGGGCGGGGAGAACCACGAGGAGCTATCATGCTGTCATTTAAATTGTATTGATAGTTTATTTAGAAGATCAACGAATTAGACGTGACTTACATATCTTAAAAATGTTACTCAAAATATGTTACTAAAGCATATCAACATTTGAATACAAAACCCCAGTAGAACAACAAAGATAAATATGGCAAGAAAAAACAGTAGGCTGTATGGAATATAAATTACTTTTTGCCTAGAGTAAAAATAATAATAATAATATTTAGCTTTTATATAGCGCTTAATACAAATGTCTCTAAGCGCTTTACAAATATACTATTACCCCGGTCATTGGATTCAGTGCTTTCCCGCACACACTGCATGGGGGATCATAGTAATGAAGAGGATATGCCTATAACTCATATACAAAATATCAAACAACTAAGTAAGGTTCACCATTTCAAATGATTACATTTTATAAATCAAGCAAGTTACCTACCAACTTTCAGAGATACAATTTTTGTTTTAAAAATAAATAAACTGCATTCAAGAAAAATTAAATGGTCGTTAATGAAAAATGAATAAACGAATATTTCCCGTGACTGAAAAGCTAAAGAAAAGCTGTTGACAGCCAGAGATAAATTTTAATTGTCATTTTAAAAGATGGGACAAGAATATAATTGCAATATATATAGTGCTTATGGACTTCGATGGTAAGCGCTTTATAAGTAACGTTTTTATTATTATTATTATTAAGAACAATAACAACAAAAAAGTACGTTACTTATGGTTATGGTTCAAGGCATGGCCACACAGACGATTTTGTTTATGTTGGGGATCGGGGCAAAATTATCGATTTATCGATAATTAATTGCATTTTATTTATTTATTCATCTAAAAAAACAAACCTTGGTAACATATTCTCAGTTTGTGTCATACCTCAGTTATATATTCTCGGTTTGTTTTATACATCGGTAATATCCACCTACTTTGCTTCTTACGTCGGTTATATACTCTCAGTTTGTTTTACACCTCGGTAATATATTATCACTTTATGTCATACCTCGGCCATGTATGGCTCTTCTTTCATGGTATGTCCTCGAGTAGCATGGGCAAAGAGGCCAATCTGCAAGGACGTCTTTCCAGCATGGTCTTGAAGGTTGACGTCTGCACCATTCTTCACTAAGACATCGACTAAATGGAAATGCTCATGGGAGATAGCTACAGCAAGAGGACGGAGTCCAACTACGCTTTCTACTGCATTCACGTTACAGTGCCCCTGTAGGTATAAATTCAACAAAAATCAAGTTCAATTTTTTTGATAAATGGCTCAATTTTGCAAATTTGTCATTGCAGGAGTTTTAATAATGTTTGATTTTGATCTAATTGAGGCCAACCGCATACGTCATGATCAGACTACGATCTGATTTTAGAACAATTGGAAAACGCAGTCAACATGGTAATCCAAACAAGTGAAATTGTAATTATCGACGTATTGACCAGTCATGTACACAATACAATAGATACATACATTATTTTGTGGGAGGAGGGGGTAGCAGTAAAAGCTTAATTATAGGAGATAAATCCTAATCGGTTCTGAATCACAGAATGACGTCGGAGTAATCGTTAGACTCTTTATGATTTTAAGCCAATTTGGCCTTTACCAAACTTTCCATTTAAAGTATTCATATGATTATTCAGAACTTCGATGAGGAAGATACTGTTGGTTTCAATTTCTATAGCTGATGTAGTTAAGGTCTTATCACGGTCGAGTCGTATAATGTCTAGGGGTATGCTTTAACCATCTGACTTTTTACCTTGTTTAACAATAGTTGTGTAGCATCACGAAAGCCTTTGCAAACAGCTAAAAAGATAGGAGTACAGCCATGTTCATCCCTTGCTTCCACCAGTCTAGGTATCGTGTCCAGGAGTTTAGTCATAGCACTGTGACCAAGGCATGGATAGTAATCGAAAAAGGGAAAATGAATTGATATATCAATCCTGGAAAAAGAACGAGGAAAGGGTAGTTCCTCTCTCTGCATTAATACAGGATATAGGGCAAAAACAAGTCTTTTACTGTAAATCATGTATATTTTTTCCCGTAAGACCCATTGAAGAATATTTTTTTTAATTTGTATATGTTTTCCCTTTTGCTGAACAAGAGACCGTTTTATTGACACTTACATTTATATTATTGCTAATAATAGAGCTGAAAAGTCTCGCTTGATTTCTAACACACGCACACACACACACACACCCACACACACGCACACACGTACACACACCCCTACATAGTCGTATTGGTATACTGTTCCTGTAATAAACCTAGATCTCTGAACACGAATGGTTGATCCCTCTTAAACAGTTATTGTTTGCGTAGGACAAATTTGTAGAGCAAATACATATACATGTTTTCTGAAACATGTCCTTAATATTTAATAGAGCTAGCTTTAAACAAATATTCTCCGAACCAAGTTTATATCATATGAATAGGTTTTTACCCCAGGGTAAATTCTTGGAGAGCTCATTTAATTATTTATGTTTCATTGGATTGACTTGAAAACTGTGTAAATGAACTTCACTCACTATGTATTATCCACTGCAGCAGCACAGTGCATGGAAGATGCTAGATTACTACCAACCGCTTTCAGATCTGCTTCCTGTCTGTCCAGAATGAGATCCACTATGGTTCTTCTTCCAGTTTCCATTGCTTGAATTACAGGTGTAGCATCCAGCTCGCCCTATTGCAAAGTCATTTCAAAGGCACATTAAAAGAACAATTTGAAATTGTAATGTCTCTTTAATAACACTGTTCAGATCAATGTTAAGGTTAAATTGATCCCTTTTCATGAAATGAGTGTGATGACATTTTATATTTGATTTGATTTGATTTATTGGTTTCTGCATCTTCTTTTTTTCCACCATACATTTTCATGAACATAATATTGTTGATACAATATTTATTGATATATACAGTGTATATCTTTTCAGAACTCTACTGACCAAAACTATTGATAGACAAATTTTTTTGAGAAACTATATCCGTGAAGACTATTTAAATCATATTGTCACACAATCATTTCATGAAGAGAGGTAAGAAATTATTCCAACTTGTGGGTAACAGTGTACAAGGAAAATTATCATTTATTTCACTCTGTAGCATACAACAGTTAAAGGCGAATGAACAAATTATTTGATCATGCCTCTGCCTTGTTTACTAAGATATATATTGCAGTAAGGTTGTACTTTTAGCAAGATGGTCATAATTGCTAGCCGTCGTTACATAAATTTCTCTAATAATGGAGTATTACACAATGAAGTAAAAACATTATTATCTCCCACAGGCGTCACAATATTTTCCAAATTTTATTTTGTTCTTTTCTGTCACATCCTCTCAAAGAATTATTTAAAATAAACAGATCTTGAAAACTTCTATTTGACTTCCCAAACATGACAAAGACAAGCATGGTCATGCTCCTTTTCAATATGACCAAAATAATTTTGATAAAAGCCCCATAGTATGCATTTTGTTATATTATCACCATGATGACATGCATTCACATTCCACTCCTCCTGCAACTTAAACATTCTCAAAACACACAGACAAAAAACATAAGTTGGGGGCCCCCAACAATCAGTAAAGTTCAAGTAACTGATATTAATTCAATCATGATATATATATCACCATTTCCTTACCTTAAGGTTCAAGTCTGCACCGTGCATCATCAGACGATGTGCACATTTATAGAACCCTCCTTCACACGCCAAAGATAGACATGTAAAGCCCTGAAAGTTGACAGCGTGCACATCAGCCCCTTGATCTAAAAGGTATTCCACGGCTTCGTATTTGTTGCTTCCGTTTGTAATGGGTGTGTGAAGAAGAACGGACGGGTGATCATTTGTTTTATAACACTTGTTTAACACGAAACAGTTTGGCGGAGTGCAACTTGTATACTTGGTCAGAAAGCACAAGCATGACTTGATAAATCTAGTTAATTTATGCTGCAGTACAGTGTGAAGTTCTAATATATTCACCCTAAACTAACTATTGAAATCAGCAAACTGGCGACGGAGAACAAATTTTATAATTTGTTTCATGTACAAATATTTTTTGTTAGGTTTTTGTAATTTTCCATTCACATTTATTTAACTTGATATAGGGTATTTATTTTTCAATACTAAGAAAAAGAGTGAAATGCAAATACTTGCTGTTAATTTCAGGAAGGAAAGCTCATTCGTTTTAGTCAGCCGTCATGTTTAAGGGATGGAATGGATACAAGATAAGATATCAAGTAAGTTTTCACAGGCATTCTGGAGAAAGACTACTCTGCAATATAATTTGCTAGAGCAATTGGTGTGGGGAGAAAGGGGGGCTACAGCCCGACGCCAGTGCATTTGTGGTACACTTGAACATACAAATTGAATAAAAATCATATCAATTGAATTGAAGTACCGTAACATGTATAGATCCGATTAATTTATAATATTCAAGGAATATGTGGGTTTTTTATGACAGATTTTAGCATTACCTACACGTATAGGCAACACAAATTATCAATAGTTTTACAAAATTCTTGTTTGTTTAAAACTAAAGAATATCTTACACGCTGGTCGCGATGTAAAGTGGAGCACTGCGGTGGTTCTCAATAAAGGCCCCTTTCTCGACGAGGAACTTCAACATGTCTAAATTGCAATGAGCTGCAGCGTACCCTAACAGTGTTACACCAGGCTCTGGCTCGCAATGAATCTATAGATGCATAAACAGACAAAGAAAAATGCCACAAATTATCTTTTCGATCACAATTTTTCCTCAACTTCCGTTGTCCGAAAGGATTTGCAGTATCTATAATAATTCTTTAAGAATCTTGAAAGAGATATCGTTTGGGTGGAAACAACCCATGATTCCACATCTCCTCACCTGATACCCACAGCTAAGCTCAAGAATGTTCCCCCTTTTGAAGTGATCTAACCTTTGCTTACTTTTTTTTGCAGCTTGTTACAGAATTTGAAAACATAGAACATCCAAAAATCTGATAACCCTTTTCTTTTTGCTACATATTTTTTTTGTCCCCTTCCCTTTTTTACAAAATTATAGATTCAACTTACACCGGGCCTTGCGTAGAGTTGCGTAGATTTGCGTAGAGTTGCGTAACGACTACCTCGATCGTACGCAATCCTACGCAACTGTACGCGGAGGGACGCAAATGGGTACGCGAGATGAACGCAAAAAATTAAACATGTTAAATTTTTTTCGCGTACCTTCGGCGTAGTACTAACCCATTCTGGATGTATAGCCAAGAGACACCCCACTGCTTCGATATCACCTAATCGTGCAGACACCAGGAGGAGCGGTTCGTGATCTGTATTTAGAGGCAATGAAAAGTTGTCATAAAAGGCTTGTTACGAACACGTCTTGAGTACCTTCGTTGATACAAGCTAATTGATCCAGCCTTTGTCAAACTTTTTGTAGTTACGGCACCCTTTTGAGGATTACATTTTTTCGCGTAATGCTTCAAAATTTATTTATTATTTACAAAAGATTCATTTTCGATATATGACGATATTCAGGCAGCTCGCTGACAATAGAGATATTCTGGTACCTCGATGAATAATACTGTGGGTATTCTGGCACATGATTGCCTGAAATCTTACTGTTTCTTACTGTGTCAGTAAACGGTGTAGCGAGCAAGGGAACAAGACACTGTATCGTCTTTAAAAGGTTATTTCTACACGAAAATATTTCTACGAAATTGACGTTTATTGCATTATTGATCCCAAAATAAATGTTTAATGAATTTTCTCGTGACACCCTTTGAGATGTTGTGCCGGCACCCCGGTTGAAAAAAAAATTGAAACTTATCTACAAAGTGTAGGGTAGCTAGATACTGCATTTTTTTAGAGGACAGTAAATCACAAATACTCAAGTTTTTTTTTGCGAGTACCCGACGTAAATTTGTTCGTACTAAACCCAACATTGTACCACTTTAAAAATAAACGAGTGCTTGTTATTTAGACTAGTTATGATGAAGACATAATTCTACAGCCTTGCCATAAACCATGCATGCTGCACGTACGCTAAAACAAAAAGAGAGAAAGTGTTCGTGTTGTTGTTCTAGTTTCCTTTATTTTGTTACTTTGAATTGTAGATAGAGTCGACCTTTATGACGGTGGGAGAATCATGCATGATTCTTTAGTGTTAGTTTCTTTTCAGTGAGCACTTACATTTATTTTGTTAACAATGAGGGTAAAGTGCCTTAATCAAAGCACCGAGTAAACATATCATACATGTACCTCATTCCTTTACATAATCGTAATTGTAATCATCTATTATAAATGGAGAGCCTTGATTTGATCAGCTCTATATTTCATTTCATTTAAAATTTACCTCGCATTGGTTCTTCACGCCTCAAGTCTTCTGGTTTAGGAGCACGAATCCGTTCTGGAGTCAGGTTTGCAGAATTGAAAGTAAGTTTTTGATCGTCCGTGATTTTGACGTGAATATCCGATCCGTCGATTCCTACCACCTTTCCAACTGTACCGATGGCCTAAAACAGGAATATAATCATCATGATTATAGGGCTACATAATTGTGTTGTTTGTAATTTGGAAGTAAATAAATTAAACGAAAAAAATCAAGACAGTATCACCTATTTGAATCCATAATGTGGTCATGTCTACAATATTGTTTGTCATGGTTGAGACAGATAACTTTAAAGGCTATTTATTGCCAAACATCCAAATATTTGAAAATAAAAATATTGTTATGAAAAATTAAAAATTATGTGGCGAAGCGACAGAGCCATAAAATTAAAAATATAGATAAATATCGACATGGACATAACAAATACTATCATTGTTGCTGCCAGAATATGGGAAATTTGTAAGTGTTCGAGGTGGGCGGGGGGGGGGGGGGGGGGGGTTCGCAGCATACACCTTCCCT